TGGCAAGGGAGAATAAAAGTCCAGTTGTTATTCTGTTTTTAATTTTCCTTTCAACCAGTTTCCAGATTTAAGATTTAAGACTTACTGATCTATAATTCCCAGCTCACCTCTAGAACCTCTTTTAAATATATGTACAACATTTCCTGCCTTCCAATCCTCTGGACCAGTGGCTGTTTTCAATGACAGCTTAACATTTTCTGTTAGCAGCTCGACTAGTTCGTACTTGAGCTCCTTTACAACTCCTGGGTTTGGTAATTTATTGCATTTTAAATGATCAGTTTACTCCAGCACTACCACTTCTGTCACCTCAATCTCAGAGTAGATCATCTTTATCACCAGAAAAGAGCAGGTCCAGGGTAAGTATCTTCCTAATCCTCGTCAGTGAAGACTGAGGCAAAGCAACCATTTAGAGTCTCAGCAATGTCCTTATTTTCCTTAATTACTCCCTTAAAACCCTGATGATCCAGCACACCCACCAATTCTTTAGGAGACCTCCTCCTTCTGATGTACTTCAAGAATTTCTTATTCATTTTACACTGTTAGCTACTTGTTCTTAGGAATCCATTTTCCCTGTTACTTATTGCCAGCTATAATTTATACTTCTATTTATTGGCTTCACTAGGATCAGAAGTCCAAATTTTGAAGGATTTCTGTTTGGCTCAAATAGCCTCTCAAACCCTGTCATTTAGCCGTATAGGCTTAGTCTTTCTGATTCCCTTCTTCTGCAGCAATATATATATATATATATATACACATACACACACTCTCTGAGGTTGTTACTGGGATTTGTTTAAGTAGTATCCATGCCACCTTTAAGAATTTTACTTCAAATTAATGTCTCAGTGTCACTGTTTGGTGCCCTACCTGCCCCTAGAATGTTGAACCTAAATATAGTGTGGTCACTATTAGTGGCTCAGCTACGGTCACGTGAAATAGCTCCTGCGTTTTACTTAAAACTAGTCAAGAATTAGCCTCTCCTCTTGTGTGCTCCACAACTAGCCTTTAAGAAACTATCACTGAAGTGCTGAGAAATTATTTCCCTAAACTGTGTCTTCAGTATTTTATATGTGGGTAGTTGAAGTCCCCATTATCATGAATGCGTTAGATTTTACTTCCTCTTGGAATTTTTTTTTTTTTTTTTTTAGTCTGGAGGCTGGTAGTATTGCCCTACTAATATTTACATTCGTACAGGTTGGGATTTGTATCCACATAGATTCAGCTGTGTACTCCTCTCCACTCAGAATTGTTATCTTGATAGGTTCTGTGCAATCCTTTAGATACAGCCCTACTCCCCTGCTTCTTTGGCCTGGTCTGTTTTTCCTATGTAGTTTATAACCAAGTATAACAGTATTTCATTGGCTTTTGTCATTCCACTAAGATTCTGTAATGACTGTTCTGTCAAGGTCCTTGTCTACTGCAAGGCATTCTAGTTTGTTTATTTTTGCTTTTAAAACTTCTTGCATTTGCATACAGGCATTTGCTGTTTCTATTCTTGACTAGGGGCCTGCTTTTATTTAACTCCTTAATCTGACACCTTGATGATTTTACAGAATTTACCTCTGTTCTGATCCTGTCTCTGCACTAGTTCAGTTGTAATTTGTATCCGACTCTTTGCTGGATACTCAGACACCACTGTATTACAGATGCCTTTAACAGATGTCTCTGTCCAAATTTAGTGCTCCTCAGCTTGTGCCAGCATTCCCTCAGCTCTTAGTTTAAATACTCCCTCAATATCTTATTTATTTTACAATGCCAGCAGTCAGCTTCTGTTTTGATTAAGGAGTATCCCAAAAACCTCTGTATATGCTTTTCTTTCCCCAAAATACCCTCCAGTGCCTAATAAACTTAAATTCCTCTTCTCAACCATGCACTGAGACTCTGCAGCTCCTTCTGCTAAGCTGGACCTGCATGTGGGACCAGAAGCATTTCAGAGAAAGCTATCACTGAGACCCTGGACCCAACGCTTCTACCTCATAGTCTACATTTAGCTTCCAAGATCTCTCCCCTACATCTCCATATGCCATTGGCCAAGTAAAGTGAGCCCTATACCTGAGGGCATTTCTGTTTGTCTGTATGGAACATGATAATTTTTGAACACCACAGTCAATCAGTTACAAAATTTCAGGGAGTATTCTAGTCAATTGAAGGGAAATCCGAAAAGCTTAGTTTAGAGGAAAATCAAGCTACCGATTGCTGGGTGCTGCAGATAGAGAAATCTCTCTGACACCCTTTGCTGCTGCCTATACGGATCTGAGCAGCAGCTTAATTTGCTGCATGGGGAGACTGTGTAGCCAGGGATCTGACAGACATAAAAAAGCCTTTCAGCATGGGGAGAAAGAAGCAGGGACCACTGATGGGGGGTGGGGGGGGGACTTGTGTGTGAGGGGGGAGAAAGTGGGGACCTGGAGGGAGCAGGGAAAGAGTGGGAGTGGAGAGAAGGTGAGGCAATGGTGATGAGGGAAGCAGAGACCCGAAGGAGAGGGACTGGAGAGCCGCAGGAGAAAGCAGGGACCATGACGGAGGAAGATGAGCAGGGTGAGGAGCAGAGCCTGTTTATAAAGAACTCTGGGTTGATCATCTCAAGCTCTGCAAATACTGACTCTGGAAAAAGAAGGGTCCACAGGTGTGTGGCTGGACAGGTTAACAAGTACCTGGAGGGTAAAGAACAAAGCAGCTCTGAGCTCAGGGGCTGAGGAGTGTCTGTAACTCCTCCCCACATCATCTTCATGTCCACTCCCCACAACCACCACCAAAATGCTGCGTCGAGAGGAATCTCTCTGGTGCCCCCTGTGTCTGTCTATACATCACAGGCAGCATACAGTATGAAGCTGCTGCTTTCTCTCATAGGGCGTACCAACTGGTCTACTGAAGAAGCGAAGTGTGCAACTCTCTAGATGGTACCAACATGTACCTCAAAAGCAGGGGATCTTTCTCCAGCCAGCTACAGGCTCCACACCTATGACCCCCCGGACAAAATTCAGCCCTGAAGTAAGCATACACAATTCTATCAATCTCAGACCTGAATTTGTTTACAGGATGAATTTATCCATGTTTTCATTTATTCCCCAATGCTTAGGTACAGTTTAGAGTAACTGAAATGCTGCCAGAAAAGCAAAGGTGAGGGAGTACTTTATACACAACTTCTGTTCAGCTGGATTGCCTAGTAACATGGCTTACTCCACAATGCAAGCAATAACTCCAATAATGAAATCAGAATCCCTGCTCCAGATAACATACTCCAGAAGGGAAGAGCAAGCACCACTGGATGCTATCACCACAGTCTGTACGGGCACATCAATTCACTCAGATATTGACACAAGACAAGGTTTTTCCTACTTTTCCAGCAGTTTTATTCCTATAAACAAAAAACAATCCACAAACTCCTTTGTCAACACTGACCATTAAGAACGCAATTTGTAACAGGTGAATTTTATATCCTATTCTGAATTCATCCTGAAGCGTAAATGGTTCCCAAAGAACCACACAGGGCCAATTAATAACAATTTATGTATTTACTATTTAAGCTGCACCCAGAGGACTATTATGCAATTGAGTGAACCTAACCCTCGCTCATAGCCTTTAAAATGTTATTTATATCGGTGAGACTTGGTATACACAATATACATTCATCATGATGGACTCAGTGCAAATAATGTAGGTATTTTATAAAGTTCTTGCCATCATAATGAAAATTTATCTATCTAGATCTCCAGTATTAAAGGAAACCAAATGCCAACTGTGCCATTGACTTGGTAAATAAAATCAATTTTATAGTTCAACTGTCATTTGCAGCTCCTTTAATTGATCCAAGTCACACCAAAGAGTCTGCAAAAATAGCGTACAGGCGGGCATGTTGTAGCCATGGTTCACCGAGTCCTAGTAATACATTCTGTGCTATTTTGTGTGTGTGTTTTTTTAAAATAAAGGAAACAAAATTAAACTTGTTGGTTGCTAGCATTGAGCGTTTTAGCAACTGCAGAAGAGAGGAGACATTACAGCTAATTAAATGAGACACTATGACCAGTAAAAACCAGAGTTTCCCTTCCTTTATCAAAAAGCCATCAAATGTCAAAGTGAGCTGCAACTTATTCAAAGATGGATTCTCACTTTGCACCTAATTCTCGTGAGCCCCATCTGCAGAATGCTGCTCGATTGCATTTATGGGAGCTCCTGTGAAGTACTCAGTATTCCGAAGGCATGGGTATTTTGTACCTGCCATCATTAATTCTAGTCAGAAAGTACTGGGTGAGAGACTTGAAATATTAGTGCACACACACTCTCTCACAGATATTTTATAGTCTACCTTGGTCAAGTCAAAAGGCTACAAAGAAGCAAAAGATTTAAAACCATAGTTCACAAGGGAAAGAGGAAGCCCTTTTTTAAAGAAATATATGGCTTCAGTATTAGAAAACATCAGCAATTCTAAAACAAAAAATTGATATTGATATTGCTTAATATTTGTAAGGTTTTCTCCATATGAAAGAGCCTTTTTATTCACTGTGATCTTGACTTAAAAACAGAGCTACATATTTTAGCAGAAGCAGAAAAGGTGAGGAATTTTCGGAGGGGGCTCAGCACCGCCTACTAAGATTGCGCAACACTTCTAATGATAAGACTCTGTTTGTCAAACTTTACCAGCCAGGCGAGAATGTTTCCTGCTGGGTGCCTACCTCATGCTAAATCCTTCTGGAAAATTTCAGCCAAAACAGTTGAACTGTTTCCAAGAATGAGGAAAGGAACTAAGGAGTCAGGAGCAACAGATCTGCTGTGGAGCTGGGTATGGGGACGTGGTAACCTGTGACGCATAATTTTGTAGTCCTGATGACACCAAACCCTGTCTACATTAGCATTTGCACCACTGCAAGAAATGTAGATTTTCTCCCCAAAATGCCGGGGTAAATACAAATACTTGACCACGAAAGAACTAGTCTGTCACATAAAATCATAATATGAGAAACCATGAAGTAGGTCTTTTGGATAGGTATTTATTGATCCCTTACCTCGTTTGGTGGAACAGCAGCAAAAGGCTTGATGATAGCAGCCAGTGGAATCTGAGCTTGTTTGGCCATATCTGAAGAGGATGGGAAGCAGTAGGCAGTACATCGAATATAACGAGGGCTGGCATTGCCTAAAAGAACATATTACGAGATAGGGTTATGTAGGGTGGATTGACTTAAATCAAAGCAATTTAAATCACTATTTTAAATCATGATTTAAATCAACAAGCAGGAAACCTTGATTTAAATAATGAATTTTAATTGTGTTCTGCATTTGCACTTTTCAGTTATTTTCTTAAAGAAAAGTTGATTTTCATTGCTTGGTAACAATTACAACATTTTATTTTCACCTAAATATAATCTTTACATAATTTTGGTGCTTCTTATTGCTAGCCAGGAGGATAAACTGTACCTATACACATTTATTTAAGAAATTACACAGCTTAACATTTTACTAGATGTTGATTAATATTTTACTTGCTATTAGTGTCAAAATAGCATTTTTTATTCAATAAAGCTACCTTCAATGTGCTGCATATGTATGAAATGTTTTTTATCAAAACATGTTTTGCATTTAAAAATAATTTATTAAACAAAGGAAGTGTTCACTGTAGTTAGTGAATGGAACTGTTCCTAGTTACCACGTCCTTCAAGATTTTAGAACTAGTAGGTATCCCCCTCTGACACTAACCTTTTATTCATAGGTCAGAAGCAGAAAACAAGTTTTCCTGCTTTTTTCCAACTTCCAACTAATTTCTTAACTCTGAATAAACTAATCATGGAACTGAACTAGTGGAATACATTGAAATAAAGAAAATATTCTCGCTGCACCTGGAAAAAGAGGCTACTGTTGGGTTAGCACTTCAACTCACTCTAGTTCCAGGTGCTCAGCCAGTGACTTCCAGCAAGGGTTTGACTTCCTTTAAAACTTGGCAAACATGTTTCTTGAATTATTTTTAACTTAAATTTAAATGATTTTAACAGATAAGAAGTTTTGATCTTAACATAGGTTTCAATTTCAAATTTAATTTTAAATAGACTAATTTAAAAAAATAAACCTGTATTTAATTAAAAATTTTTAAAAATCCAATTTTTTTTATTTAAAAAAGTCATGGATTCTTATCCACATTGGGATTGTAAGAGAAAAATAAAAGGACAGCAAAGCCAAAACAGTAATGCAAAGTGACAATTCAAATATAAACACTGAACATAAAATAAATACACTAGCAAAAGTTTCCTCCTCTTCCCATGTGAGCTTCTGCACCCTTTCCTCTCATGGGCTATCATCCCACTACACCTCTTCTTGATAGGCTTTCCTCAATGTTTCAGCGTACTGAAGCTATTTAAAGTTCATTGGGGCAGGAACCTTGTTTTCTTTCAGTACTTGTCAGTGTCTTCCACACATATGTTGCTGTATCATTAATAATTATTCCTGGCATGAATATGCTATTGATGCTCCAGTAGAAAACCCTTTAGTGTGGAAATCATGGCTGGGATCTCAAAAGGAACCCCATGGAGCTGGGCTCCCAACTGCCAGTGAAAGTCAATGGGAGCTGGGCATCTCACTCTCAGACTCCTTTTAAAAGTTCAGCCTGAAACTGTACTACTCAGTCATTTGAAAGAGACTTCTTTGCTTAAAAGACATTCTCTCCCTTCCCTTCCCTCCCTGCCCTCCAAAAGCCAGAAGAATATGTAGTTATACATTTTTCCCAACTAGACTTTATCCAAACACAGTTAAATGAAGGCATCACAATTTTAATTTACATGAGGGAGAGTCTTGTATTGAATTATGACATGCACAAATTCTGCCATCACGAAATGCGTGTGGAAGTTGAGATCGGCAAGCACTCTAGCTGGGGGACCGGCAGATTGCCAAGAAGGAAATGGATGGAGCTACATAAACAAGAGGAAAAACTGAACCCAGTGACTGAGCTTGTACTCTGACCATATAGTTTGAATCTCAGAAATAGAAATGACCAGTATACTACAAGTTAAACTTGGCAAGTGTCAATTTTTAACCTTATATTCCAGCATGGTCTCAGCAGTGCGTCTGCATGATTCCTTCAATCATTACTTTTCCTGCCCATCTTAAAGGCCAAAAATTTTTAAAACGGCAGCATGCGCACAGGGGAAGGTGAAGAGGATTCCTTCATTAATTAGAAAAAATCTTCATAGCTATTTCCACTATTTTATATAATTAAACTACTCAAATATTTTATTTCAAATGAGAAGAAGATTGACTAAAATGTCATTCATATTTCATAGTTGAGGCTTATTCTTGTAACTGAAATACGCTTATTATAAATCCCAACAGTTCTGGGAAAGGATACAGCATATATTCCTTGACAATGTCCTTCAGCACATGGAAAGCCAGCCAGGTTACCCCTCATATGCAGTGCTTTTAGGGACCCCTCAGGGGATCGTGAGGGTATTACATGGGGGGTCACGAGCTGCCAGTTTCCACCCCAAGTCCCACTTTGCCTCCCACATTTATAATGATATTAAATACATAAAAAAGTGGTTTTAATTTAAAAGGGGGGTCGCACTCAGAGGTTACTATGTGAAAGGGGTCACCAGTACAAAAATTTGAGAACGACTGTTTTAGGGCGTGCAACTCTTGCTACGAAGTGAAGTAATTCTGAACTGTGACACGAGTTTACGTGTGGATTGTAGGGCACAAGGTTGCTATTCTTCTCAGGCTTTTTTGATTATGTTATTAGGAAAAAGGGCTGTGCTCAGGTGACTCCTGTCAGATTAAAGGCTCTACTTGGAAGCCACGCTAGATGCTATGTTGTTTTGCTATGAAGGAGCTGGCAGTACTAAGGGCCGGATCCTGAGAGGAGCGGAACACTCCCCTATTCTCACTGCCTCTACTGGAGGAGCTGCCAGTCGCGCAGCCTCTTCTAGAGCAGACAGCCCTCAAACAGCACAGCAAGGCCCTGATCCTGGAAATGCTTAGGCATATGTATAATCTCAGTGAAGCCAAATATTAACAAAGCCAATGGGAGCATTCAGAATTTTAAACTAGGCATGTGCTTATGGTGTATACAAGGTTGAGGTCTAAAGATCTCAGTCAATTCTGGTACACAGAATATTTCCGTGCTACAAGTTTGCATTTTTGTCTCTCTCTCTCACACACTGTTTTGTTCTACACAATACTGCTATGGAAATACAGTAATGGTGACTGCATTGCTCTGAACTATTAACATTTTGTATGGTCATTTCTCTTCCATGCTACCTTAACGAATAAGGTGAAAAAGAACAATTAGCAATGTTTTACAGACACAACAGACAATGGAAATGAAGGAGAATTAAGGATACATGAATGGGTTTTGCCTTTTATTTATGGCACAAGCATCTAATTAGTAAATATCTTTTCAAAAGTGCTAAGCAATCACATATCCCATTGAAATTAATGAGAGGTTCAGGAGCTCTTGGCATTTTTGAAAGTCATGCCACCACCTCTGTCTAGGTGCCTAATTATCATAGAATATCAGGGTTGGAAGGGACCTCAGGAGGTCATCTAGTCCAACCCCCTGCTCAAAGCAGGACCAATCCCCAATTTTTGCCCCAGATCCCTAAATGGCCCCCTCAAGGATTGAACTCACAATCCTGGGTTTAGCAGGCCAATGCTCAAACCACTGAGCTATCCCTCCCCACATGGATTTGGGAGCATAATTTGAAGTAACCAAATTTGAAAATTTCAGTCAATAATTGTTTTTTAACTTCATTTCAACTAGGAAAAAACCCAAAGTGATCACACAAATAGTTACCTTGATCTTGGATTACACAATCTGTGGTGACAAGAGGAGGAACTTGGCCTCTGATGTTTGTAGCATAGATTTGACCTCCTCTGGAAGCCTTATCATTTTCAATTACTTGAATCTGATGAATCAGAAATAAAGAGAAAAACATGAAATAGGGGAGACTATGGATTTCCTCAATTTCATAGAGAGTTTACAGGTAAACGCCCACCCCAGGCAACCCTATTAGCATTCATTATCTCTACAGATGTGCATAGTAGAAAAGGAGTATATTGTAGCATGTATTGTCCAAAGAGGATCAAAACAATATACATATATCTATGCCCATAACTGTTTCATACCCCTTCTTAGTTCCTATTTGCCTAGCGTTGAACTTTGTCATAGTACACCTGGATAATGGGCAAACCAAGAAGGTCAGACAATCAATGCTCAATTCCCTCTTCTGCAAGAAAACTCACAGGAATGGACTAATGGGGAAGCAATCTCAGCAAAGTTCTCCAATGAAAGGAGAGACTTCTCCCTGAGTAACAAACGTCAGAAGAGCCAAGCTGGCAGGTCTTCTAAAGCCAGCAGCTGCCTCCAGGAGGCAAATTGTCACGCTGGGTGAAATTTTAATCTGCCCCTGGGGTGGACACAGAAATGAATAGCCACCTGAGGCCAAAATTAGCATGGCAAGTTGCTTCTTCAGCCCCACCTAAAATACAGAAGTGGAAATGATTTAACTAAAGGTGTTCTGTTGAACAGATTTAGCTAAACTGGTGAGCTGTTTATGGACAGTCTTACATTTGTTTAAGCCTGTTTTATAGCAGCTTAGCTTGCACCTGAAATTTAACTGCGGTTGGGAGAACTCATGAAGTCTCTGTCAGACAGCAGAGATAGAGCCTAATACATCAGGATAGAGCCCACTGACTGTTGTTCAAAAGATATTCCCAATACACTGGGAAAAATCTTGGGGGCAAGTACCATTTTGAACTTTTCCCAACGTAACTGACTCTGTCCTTTTAAATAGCTACAACATTTCTGTATTGCATTTTAGCTTGCTTGACTTCCTCTCTACTCTTCATATTGTGTACCGATTGCTAGCTGCTTGCACAAAGGGAAAACCAATTATTTACTCCAAAAAAAGTCCATTGGCTGAAGGAAGTGAACCTTTTTCAGACTAAGCTCTGTAGAAAACGCATGTAAACGGTAATCTGAAGAGTTAACTGACAGAAATATATCATCATTCTTGGAACTAGCTGTTGACAAAGTACAGATGCTGCATTTCATAGATGTTGTTAGAGCTCAGATGAATCTTTAACATTTGTAGAAAAATCTAGTCAACATTGGCTATACATAAAAAAGCATTTAGCTGGCAACACTACTGTAATTTTATCATATAAACATAACTAACACACACGGAGATATTTATTCCTGATTGTCAATTAGCTCTTTGCCCTTTACAGTCACTGACCCAGATCTCTTTTCTTTTAAAGATGTTGTTCTGATCCTTACTGTGCTGCTAAAACAAACCATTTAACAACCTTTTTTTAACACTGCTGTCACTGTCAAGTTTGTTTATTCTCGTAAGGTAACTGAAACAAGACATCAGATTGTTCCAGGGATATTTTTTAGATAGAATTCAACACGTTATACTGCTTTATGGGAAATGGTGAGATGACTTAGTTGGGGATTGGTCCTGCTTTGAGCAGGGGGTTGGACTAGATGACCTCCTGAGGTCCCTTCCAGCCCTGATATTCTATGATTCTATGACTTACCTATTAAAGGCAATGCCTACACTTGCAAGTCATAAAAACACTTATATTTTTTAAATAATAGTTTGTCACACTTAGTTACATCTGAAGTGAGCAACTGAGAGCCTTTTCCCTCAAGGTTCCTTCTCTCCAGTGTCAACTGTTATATACCATCTTCATCCATGCCTAAAGACAACCCAAATGGAGTCTAAACTGATCAAGGAAGTGGTCTTAGCCTCCTGCCCCAGCAGCTATACACTGCTTCATGGAGTATTAACAATATATTTCTTTAATGTAAATTCTTCCTTACACATGGTGGAAAACACACGAAATTCCACAAATGCATAGTCAATAGTGCAGCTCATAGGCGCGGACTTTCCCTCTGCCCCATGGGTGCTCGTCCCCCCTGCCCGCACCACCCTCGCCCAGCCCCAATTGCACCCCCTTCCCCCAAGTTCCCACCCCTACCCCGCTCTTTACAACCTCCTCCCCTGAGCGTGCTGTGTCCCCACTCCTCCCTCTCCCCCCTGGAAAGTCCTAAGCGCTGCCAAACAGCTGTTAGATGGCAGGCGGAAAGTGCAGGGATGGGGAGGAGTGGGGACGTTGTGCGCTCGGGGGAGGAGCAGGCGAGGAGGGGGTAAGGGCTGGGGGAACTTGGCTGCCGGTGGGAGCAGAGCACCGGCTAATTTTTCCCCGTGGGTGCTGCAGCCCCGAAGCACCCACGGAGTCGGCGCCTATGGTGCAGCTGTCTATCCACTTGTAGCTTTGGGTCGGGTTTTCACATGTACCTAAAGCCCAGATCTTCAAAGGTATTTAGGCTCCTAACTTCCTAACTAGAGCTAAGCATCTAAATCCTTGAGAATCTGGGTAAAAGTAACTTAGGTGTTTCGTGACTTAGGTGTTTTTGAAATCACACCCTTTAACATTTTTGAGCTAACAGATATATGCATTTAAGTCCAAGACAAAATATTACAAATATTTCAGTGAGCTGGAGCCCCAATTAAACACAGGGATACACTCTATCACCTAACAGCACATTTTTGGCAAAGGCTCCTCAGCTTTGGAACTTGTTTTCCCACCCTGCAATTCCCCCTCCTCTGGTCCAATATTGTCCTCAGTTTGTTGGCTTGCCCAAGCAAAGAGAGACTAGGACAACTCTGGCAGTAGAATATAAAAGATGAGAAATGCGTTCAGTTGCTGGCTTATGAGTTATGTTAGTGATAAGGCAGAGGGGAGCGCCTGAAGTAGTTCATTTGCATGGCTGTATTATTAAGACGTAGCAAAGAATAGATGCTCCTTTTTTATGGAAGGACAGTAAAAACTGTAAGTACGTAATACCTAAAATTGGGAAACTAATAGTCCAATTAGCTGTGCAAGGTTAGACTCCACAGGGCTGCTGTCAGTAACAGTGGATAGTTAAAGAGGTCTTTGAACATAAAGCATTTCTAGAGGAGTGTGAAATCTTATTAGCAATTAGTGGCTGAGTAAATAATTTATTGCAACAGGGAGATGACCAGCCAAGAGACTAAATACAGTTCAAAACATTTTGTACGTTTGCCATAACATGTAAGGCCTGATTCTGATCTCACTCCAACCCATGTAAACGAAGAGTAACTCCACCGAAAGCGAGGGGGGGAAAAAATCAGGCAAACAGTAGAAAAGTTTTCCCAAAAGCCATTTTAATTCAACAGTAGACTAGGCCTGTACATCCTACTGCTTCACTGTCCATCATTTACAGATCCCCAGCGATGCTTTGGGTGATTTTTTCAACCCTCTGGGCATTTAGTTCAAATTATAATATTTCAGATACAGTTAAAGTTTTAGATCTTCCTGTAGTAACAGGAGATGGTGGTTTATTTGAAGCGTTTGCGAGTAGTAATGGTGTGTATGGATCCCTGGGAACAGATCAGGTGTTGCTGAAGGGAACCATACTGTGATATTACACAGCAGAATTCACATTAAAAAAAGCAATGAATTAGCAGGGTAGAAAGTCTACACTAATTTTCTAACAAGATTCATGGACATTTTCCAGAAATGGCACTAAAGCTACATGCTGCTGCCACTTCATCTAAAAGTGACAACATAACCCCTCTAAGTACAGAATACCACATAATTAAAGAATTATGTTATATTATGAACATATTCTATGAGCCATGTGGCACAGCATATTTTAGAAGTCTAAAAAACCCAACAACATAAAAACATGAAGTTAGCTTTGATATTTCTTTGTAACATTCTAATATGAAAGCATTCACTTTTAACTAAATACAATATTACTTACGGGGCTGGGGATGGAGTCAGGATCAAGCTTCCTCTGCTGTGGACCAGCAAGCTGTCCTGGACCCCCAGGAAAGGCACCAGGATAAGAGAGCTGAGAGCCTGCCATCTGAGGGCCATAGTTGGCTGCAGAATTACAAAAGCCCGTTCATCAAATTTAAAGCATTTAAACTCTGTCATGAAGCTCTTACATTGTTCCATCCAATGTCTGGGCATTTTATCTTGCCATACAAATGTTAATGAAATAAAACACAGTGTATTTCCCACTTCCTGCAAAATATGCTTTCTTTGTGGGAGGGGATGGAGAGGGGGAAAGAGAAAATCTCCCTGAAGTAGTATTTATGAATAATTTAAAACAAAAACAAAACAAGAAAAACACTTTTCAGCTCAGTTTCTCCCCTCCCCAAAAAAGGGAGAGAGAGTAGTTTTATAATATGATATAGCCACATTTTACAAAGGCCTTAGCCTGACTTCTATTTTTGTAGATACAGTTTTACAAGTGCAAGTAAAAGCTCCTGCACTTTTATACCCATGATTCATTGTTTGAAGGATAAGCCTAAAATTAGGCATGACATGCCCAGGTACCAAAGTTTCTCCTGCATGTGGCTGCTGTGGTGTAGTCAGCAGTGCCTCCAAGGACTGATTAAGTCCTACGTGTCAAAAGTGAAACTGCCCCTTTAGTTTCAGCTTTACTCATGAGGTGACAGCAGTTCTATCGCACAATATTTAATGCATGTTTTTAAATAAGAAACCAAACATCCATATTTACCATGCTGTGGATGATACCCAGGCACTGGAGGTTGTCCTGGAAGTTGCTGCAAGTTGGCATTTGGGGGTACAGATCCTGGGATCCCATCCTGCATGGCCACTGGAGGCAGTGAGGGTGGAGTACAAACGCCATTCAGGTTATTTGCTGGTGCCGGAGGAATCTGAGATCCAGGTGGCAAGGCCATTTGCTGCTGTGTTGGTGGTGGTGGTGGACATGGACCTTGAAAAGATGTTGGAATCCCAGAAGGCATGAGAGAACTCTGAGAAGCACCAGGACCTGTGCAAGAACATTCCTGTTATATATCAAATTATCCAAAAATGATAACATACTAACAATCATTTAATGTTATTAGTTGCTAATATATTTTCAGCCTATGTAAGAATACTGTACTTTAAACTGACAGTGCCTCTAATAATCCTTATTAATAACATGTCACAGCTTAAGTTTTCTAAAGTGCTTAGTAATTTTGGGTGCCCAACTTGTCACTCTGAGGTCTGATTTTCACAAAATGTTAAGTACAAACCCTCTGAAAAGTTATGCCCTTAAGGTGTCTTGATCTGGGACTAGTTACTTTTAAAAGTTTAGGCTTAGGTTATAAAAAGCAAAGAATACTGAAATATCCAATTTTCTTTTTATGATGTGTTTACTTTCTCCAATTTACTAGGATTGGTCCATTGGAGAAAAAACATGCCACTCATTTCATGTTGTTTACAATCCTCTTCAGTTTCAGGTTCTCAGGTACTAAATGCTGCAATGTATGTTTTACACACACCGCACAGGAATACTTATCTGCTCATAAGAAAAACAACCTATTTCCAAATGAAATTATCATGCTTATAGAAATATTGCTTTGGGGCTTACATATTGTAAATGTTTGTTTTTTTTTACGTTTTGAGTCAAATTTCACCTGACAGACCTTGTAAGAAAGAATTTTCAGGAGAGATAAAAGTACGTCAACTAAAACTCTTAAGCTTTTTGAGCAAGAAGTCATTCTACAAACACTAAAAGATATTTAGTTAGACATTTTAATTAGTAAACAAAACCCTCACCTACAAAATATAAGCCCACCATATCCTCAGATGGTATGAACTGACATAGCCTAGTATCTGCTGACTTCAGTGGAGCTATGCCAATTTAGATTAGCTGAGGATCTGGTCCCTAAATCTTACATTTTCTTTTCTTGCTTCGCTTTGGAGTCAACCAAAATATCAGTTTAAGTAGGAGAAACAGAGCAGTGTAAAACGTATACCTTCAATAGACTAAGGACTATTTAAGGTCTACACTTAAATGACAGGGGAATGGCAAAAAAATATTTTCTAAAGGCAAACTATTAACAGTAACACAAATCAATTATTTTTGCCTAGTCTGAAACATCTCACAGAAGTATAATAAAAATGCTGGACCAAATCTAGCCCTGTGTAAAGCAGGCATAATGTCACTGTGCATTTGCACTCTCAGTGCATTTAATCCGTTAGGCTAAGGAATATTTTAAAAGCTTCCCCCATCCCCATCTTTGCAATTAATTGCACAAACTGAGGGCAAGATCCTAGCTAGAATAAATTGGTTTCATTTCATTGGAGTCAGCAACTAGTAAAGACAATGGAGTGATACTGAACTTATGCTAGCTAGGGATCTACTCCTGAATTTGGAAGGTTTTATCTGGTATCATACCACTTTGTAGTTGTCCTCATTAATCCTTCTAAACAACACAGGTGACAGTCAAAAAAACCCCAAAATAAGACACACAAACAGATGGGAGCCCAGTCCTGCTTTTATTCAAGTCAAAGGTAAATTCCAAACTGATATGAATGAGATCCAGCCCTAAGCTTGCACTCTGTAACTTTCAGTAGGTCTATAGAACCAACCAATTGAAGTCAATGGGAGGTTTGCATACAGACTAAATTTAACTCTACTATTAAAAAATAAAATAAACACAAAAACCAACAAATCTTTGCTGGGAATAGAACAAAGAACTATCGCAACAGAGTCAACAAAAAGCACAAAAACTAATGTGAGAGTTGATATTTCAACAAGAACCCAGCAGTAGCTCCAGCAAAGCTGAAAACAGGTTTAGTAACATAATATAACTCTCAGAATTATGTGATCCCTAATTGTATTAGCACAGTATTTCTTATATGATCCCAATATAATCCTCATTCCAAGGGAACTTCATCAGCTTGAGTAGGTAAGAAAATACATGCACTTTCTTATTGTCAGAGAGCCAGATTCTCCACTCCTAAATAGAGCAAAATGCCCAATGACCCAAGTTTTGCCTGATGAAAGGCCACAGAGTTTGGCTCATGACCATATCATAGCATAGTTAGAAACCTTATTTTGTAACTTCTTGGATCCCTACTTCATCCAGAAAATGATTTTACAACAGATATTTCCCAAACCTTCAGAGTTCAGTCCCCAACACGGAAGGGGTGACACACATATTCTGGGCACTCACACAGCTTGCTTGCAAATGAAAGTCTTTCATTTGCATGCCATATTAGAAAACTACACATCTTCTTGTCTTCTAGTTGTCTTCTTGCACAAACCCAAAATTTGCAGACCCAAATGTTTCACACAGATGTTTTGTGAAAAGAGAATAGGCACGCGGATGTGAAAAGGTGGACCTGAGCAATTAATTTGCTTTCATAGATTTTGTTCTAATTTGCATTCAAGTTTTGGTTGCTATTGTAGAAATCAAAGTATCAAACTTTTAAAGATATGCCTAGAAAGACAGCACTCGCTCTCTTCCAGCACAAGTAAAATGAATGCATATGGGAACTTGGCAGTCAGCACAGAGGTTGGCACAATGACTCAAAGAGGTTCCCTATAAAATGGTGCTACTACTGTAATAAGCACAAAGTGTTTAGCTCCAGATTACCTTTCTAACATCATAAAATTCATGCCTATGTTATCTGCTTTCAGAAACAGGTCTTTTAAAAGCAGGATATAGCTGAACTTCATCACTGGAAGCTAAGTCTGTTTACTGCTATGCTAGTGAATTATGCAACCCCATTATTAATTACTTATACATCAAACTAAAGTGCGGGTCAACTCTGAAAAGTAACTGTAAAAAATGACAAAAGGAGTCGCATGATTATTGTGTCCCAGTAACTTCACTTCACAGTTTTCTTGATTTTCAAATAAAGATTAGTTTTTTCTAATTGGCACCACAGCAAATTCACCCTGGGATCTGAAAGTCAAGCTGGGCTCTTTCACTCTCAAACACCATTACTGGTAAAAGATTCTACAGGCCAAATTCTGATTTCATTACAACTGTGCAATGTAACGGTCTTCAAATTATGCCATCTGTTACATCTATGCAACACCATTGTCTTCAGTGTAGGTGCACAGTTTTAAATGAGGGCACAATAAAGCCCTTAAGTAGAACTTTGTTAACAATTCTGATGATGTTATGCAAGCAAGAATAGAGTCCAGTTCACTCCTCTCATAGCTGTGTTCATTCTACAGTGTTAATCGGAGTAAAGACATAATGCACTCTAAAGTGAGCAGATATGACTTTCAGTACACCCAGAAAGCATATCTGTTGAGTTACCTTTTTTATTTTTAAGTCACTTTCGAAGACAAACCAAACTTTAAAAAAAGACAAGTTTCTAAAATTAGTCTCAATATCCATTAGTGGGAATAGCAATTAAATACCAAGGCATGCTGATTTAACACGCAGTATTATGGAAAATATCTAACACAAAGAATGCTTGATAAACAGTAAAGTGGAATTTTTAAAAGTTCATAGTGTTGCCCTAACTCTCTTTCGACAGAAGTCAATGGAAATTTTACTATTACCTTTAACGATAGCACAGTTAAACTAGCACTCAGCACTTTTGAAATCTTCAGGCTATATCATTGGTTTTCAAATTTTTTTCATTTGCAGACACCTAAAATTTTTCAAATGGAGGTGCAGCCCCCTTTGGGAATCTTAGTCTGTGGACCACAGGTTGAAAACTACTGCCCTATATGGTTCTTACAAGAACATTTAAAGGTAGACACACTTGAAGGAGCAGGATGAGACTGACATTTAGGAACCTGAGTAAGTAACATTGCTCAACACAGTGGTCTCAAAGAGCAATCTACAGTTTACTTTTGACTTATTTAACATTATGAAAACATCAAAATAGATAAATTGTTGGCTCTTTCATCATATTTTACTAATAGCTTTAGCTGATGAAAATGGATAAATGATAACGCAACCATTACCATAGTTATTTATTTGCAGGGTGCTGAGCTGATTAGCCAGTTGTGTTGTGGATGAAGAGGATGCAGTATTTGGATAGGATGGCTGTGATTGAGGGCAGTATGGGGGATAGGAAGGTGCTGCATTGTTGCGAGGTGAAGGGCCTTGAAACCTGAGAAGAGAAATTAATCTATGTTATATATATATATATATATATATATATAAAAAAAAATCATCTCAGCCAATCACAACCCAGAAAGTCTAGTATCTCCTCACAAATGACACTGATACCTCTGACTATAAGGGCCAAAATTACAAAGGAGTCTCCTCAGATTGTCCCCACACAAAGTATATTTTTATGACAATAGAAATGAAGTGCGCACACAGAGGAAACGGTGTGCCTATACAGAGAACAAATATTCATTTGCACACATAATTACTTATTAGAAGCAACTAAACCTGTATGTAAGATTTTACTGGTGTAGTTTAAAAAGTTCTTTTGAAATTCTGAACCCAAATGTCAAATAATCTGTCCCCTTTTCCACCTGTGGGGTACAAGGGGACAGCCTTAGTTTTGGGTGGATGAGGAAGATTCCTACTGTATTAACAAGGGGAGAGTGTGTGTATGTATCGGGGTGCGGGGGAGAGGAATAATGGGGAGACAGTTGAAGAATCTCTGTATGCGGAGAAAAGAGGAACAGCCTGTGTGTGGGAAGCAGTGGGTGGTGTTCTGGTCTCTACACTGTTCTGACCATAATTCACCTCTGAACATGAAGGAACTGCCCTTTCCTTTAAGAAAAATATAACTTTGTTTTCTTGCTATCTTGTTCTATTTTGTCCTGAACTACAATACCAGTTCTTTCTAATGTAAGAATATGTGCAGTACACAGGGATAGGATCAGGATATAGTACACAATATACAGCGGATGAAGTAAAGGACTGGGAGTCAGGAGATGTAATTCTAGTCCTGGCATCACCACTGACCTGACATTAGGTCAGTCACCTTGCTACTCCATGTCCCTGATTCCCCTCCCATCCTTCATCTATCTTGTCTATTTACGCTGCAAGCTACCCAGAGCAGGAACTGACTCTCACTAAAAGTGTTTGGGCATAACACAATGGGGCTCCAATATGAGCTGGCACCTCTAGATTCTACCACAATACTAGCAATAACTAAAACTTCCTAATTTTGACATCTAATTAAAACACACACAAATACATTTTTATTTAAAATAAACTATTCACAAATATATCTGGACGACAACTAAAATAGAAATGTGAAGACAGTAGTTTGACTCACTGATGTCTAAGACATTGCTGCTAGACAGCACCAAATTAATAAAGAACATGCAACCAAAAATAGTTACAGCTAAGGATTTAGAAACTTACCATACAATTCTTTTTGTTACTCCTTGGAAGCCATTTTATTTAAGCTATTTTCTTTTTTTCTAAGGCAGCTACATACATATTTTTATTTATAAACTATACAAACTACGAATATTGCTACTGAACCACTCTGTGGTCAACTTTCTCCCTCTTCATTATCTTCCTCCACATTCTCCTTCTTATCCCTCCTGACATCTTCATTTTATCCTTTCCCTATTTCATTTCACACTCTTCTTGTTCTACCCGCTCCTGTAACCCTTTGTCCTCGCTCTACTTTCCCCAAACATCTACCAAAGCTCACCAAACATCAACCTTCTTCTCCAAAGTAAATCACAGAACTTATATCAAGAGAAGGCAGCCACCAGCCTCCAAGAATTTGACAAAGCCTCATATCTTTAGGGCATGCTGTTGAGTTTTGTCTGTGATGTTGGAAGCTGGCTTAAAGAAACTGCTAAGCAGGCAAACTGAATATTAATGCACAGACATGCACAAGCTTCTACTCTCTATTAGCTGGCAACTGATGTAATGCAATCATCATTATATGACAAATCAAGAGGTTCTAGTCATAAGAAGAAAACTTGATACAGAAAGATACAGAAAATTAATGTAACTTCTATTACAGATGGTATTTCTAACACCTGTTTGTTGCCTTTGTCTCCTCCAAGTAGAGGAGACAAAAAAGTGTAATCAATACTAAAGCTTTTCTCAGTGCTGGTTCACTTTCTATTTTTATATTTCTAATCAAACATAGAAAAGAAGGTCAAAGGTGATTCTCTATTCAGGGAATATATCCTACATAAAGGTTGTATGAAACACATGGTCCAAATTATTCCTCAGTCTGCATTAGATAGTTACTTGATCCACGAATCCAAAGATCAGTGTTTTTCCCCAGTGAATCAGATTTACACTTCTAACCCCAATAGCCATTCCAGAGCACAACATTCATTTGAAACAGCTGGTCTGACTTGTTCCTCCGAAAAGCAGAATGCACCAATATACAAGAATGAGCATGAGAAGTCTATTGGTGTCTAGCATGGATGTATTGCAAGAAAAAGGACAAAAGCCATTTGCCTTCAATCACCTAAATATACCAGCAGCCCAGCACCAGTAGCATATTAAGGTGCACAGTGAATACATATCGCTATTACAATAAAGCTTTTAATTGTAAATTTTGTAATAATACAAATATTTTTAAACTACAATCTTGGGTTGTTTATGCAATCTATGCTTCCACCTTAAAAATAAGTCCAAACAGAAGTTGGGAATAGAAGAATAGTTCCCAATTTATTTGTAAATTTACTAGGGCTGTCAAGCAATTAAAAAAATTAATCGCAGTTAAGCAATAATAGAATACCATTTATTTAAATATTTTTGGATGTTTTCTACATTTTCAAAGATGTTGATTTCAATTACAACACAGAATATAAAGTGTACCATTTTAAAAATTTCACTTTACTGTTTATCAAGCATTCTTTGTGTTAGATATTTTCCATAATACTGTGTGTTAAATCAGCATGCCTTGGTATTTAATTATATTTATTTTTGATTACAAATACTTGCACTGTAAAAAACAAAAGCAATAGTATTTTTCAATTCGCCTAATACAAGTACTGTAATGCAATGTCTTTATCATGAAAGTTGAACTTACAAATGTAGAATTATGTACAAAAAATAACTGCATTCAAAAATAAAACAATGTGAAACTTTAGAGCCTACAAGTCCACTCAGTCCTACTTAGATAATGCTGCCTGCTTCTTGTTTACAATATCACCTGAAAGTGAGAACAGAGGTTCGCATGGCACTGTAGTAGCTGGTGTCACAAGATATTTATGTGCTAAAGATTCATGTGTCCCTTCATGCTTTAACCACCACTCCAGAGAACATGCGTCCACGGTGATGATGGATCCTGCTCAATAACAATCCCAGGCAGAGTGGACCAACGTATGTTCATTTTCATCGTCTGAGTCAGATGCCACCAGCAGAAGGTTGATTTTCTTTTTTGGTGGTTTGGGTTCTGTAGTTTCTGCATCAGAGTGTTGCTCTTTTAAGACTTCTGAAAGCATGCTCCACACCTCATCCCTCTCAGATTTTGGAATGCACTTCAGATTCTTAAACCTTGGGTCGAGTGCTGTGGCTATCCTTAGAAATCTCATATTGGTACCTTCTTTGCGTTTTGGCAAATCTGCTGTGAAAGTCTTCTCAAAACGAACATGTGCTGGGTCACCATCCGAGACTGCTATAGGGCAGAAATATAGGGCAGAATGCAGGTAAAACAGGAGAGATACAATTCTCCTCCCAAGGAGTTCAGTCACAAATTTAATTAATGTGTTTTTTTTTTAAACGCACATCAGCAACATGGAAGCACGTCCTCTGGAATGGTGGCTGAAGCATGAAAGGGTATATGAACGTTTAGCATATCTGGCACATGAATACCTTGCACCACCGGCTACAAAAATGCCTGTTCTCACTTTCAGGTGACATTGTAAATAAGAAGCGGGCAGCATTATCTCCCGTAAAGATAAACAAGCTTGTTTCTCTTAGTGATTGGCTGAACAAGAATAGGAATGAGTGGACCTGTAGGCTCTAAAGTTTTACATTGTTTTGTTTTTGAGTCCAGTTACTTAACAAAAAAACCTACATTTGTAAGTTACACCATCATGATAAAGAGATTACACTACAGTACTTGTATGAGGTGAACTGAAAAATACTTTCTTTTATCATTTTTACAGTGCAAATATTTGTAATCAATAGTGAGCACTGTACACTTTGTATTCTGTGTTCTAGTAGAAATCAATATATTTGAAAATGTAGAAAAACATCCAAAAATATTTAATAAATTTCAATTGGTATTCTATTGTTTAACAGTGCGATTAATCGTGATTAATTTTTTTTGAGTTAATCACAGGGTGGATAAAAATCAATGATTTTTTTAAAAAAATTAGATTTTTTTAAATTTAAATTGGATTTTTTTTGATAAAATGCTTTTTGAGGAAAAAAGCAATCGAAAGATAGTTTTAATTAAGATACATTATAGCTCAAAGATATCTCATCATGGAACAGGGATTATAAATTCTAATTCTATAGTATGAGACAATATATTCGTGTAATGTTTAAGAAAAGTTTTGTAAATGAGTTCCAATAGTTCATGGATTACGGACCCAATTTTATGGGGTTCCACAGGCTTCTGTACTGATTATTTAGGTTCATCTTTCTATCTACCCAATGGGACTCAGTGCTCAGTCTAGACGATACCGTCAGAGATGTTTCGTTTTGCAGTTCTCAAACTGTGGATTTGCATCTCCAGAGATAACATCAGGGGTTAAAGTAAAGTGGTATGGGCCGGTACAGCGTACCGGCATAAAGTGGCCGCCAGTACCGGTCCGAACAGCAGTGCTTTAATGTCATTGCCCCTTCCCCGCCCCCAGGCCGCTGACAGGGTGGCGCGGGGTGGGGTGGGGCAAAAGACGTAGCTGCCCCGGGGCCGCAATTTAAAAGGCACTGCTGGAGCCCCGGGCCCTTTAAATCGCCACTGGAGCTCCGGGCGATGCAGGTCAGGCAGCGCAGATGGGCTGGCTGGGGGACGCTGACACACCAGCCCCGCCCCTTCCGCCCAAGGCCCCGTCCCTTCCACGGAGGCCAGAGCTGGGCCCATTCTGGTAAGAGCTCAGTTTTACTTTCACCCCTGGATAACGTGCTGGTTAACAGCAAAAATGTTATAAACAATATATAGAGGTGAGAAATAACAGACCTCAACCCTATTGTCCCTCTGCAAATTTGTGCACACAAAGTCAATCCCTTACCTCTCTCTAAAAGTGCAACGTTTCAAAAAGTTCAATGAATAGAAGATGGTGGGGACAGAATAGATCTGGACAAGGAGAAGTAGTCTGGCGATAAATATGAGAAGGGAGGGACAGGCAGTAAGAACAAAAATGAAACTATTTGAGCAACATATTCCAGAAATCTTGAGGTCTTTCTGAGTGTAGCCTTCATTGATTTGAGATCTACCATACCATTCTCTCACTAGAAGGGAAAACCTATAATGGCAGCAGGCCGTAAAAAGCTGCACTGACAATGATGAAAGGAACATGTCTGAACATGCGGGATCTTCAGGTTGGTAAACTTTTTTAATTCCATACTTCTTTCTTCTGGACTGTTCTTGAATTCTCATGTTTGAGCAAAAAATATAGTTGTTATTCTATTGTACTATCATTTTAGATGCAGTTGTGATAAAAAATAAATAGCTGAAATAGGCAGATCTTCCTTTTACAATTTCACCTTTAAAATAGTACTGAATGTCAGTGAATGCAATGAGAAATACTAAATAAGCAGTATGGTAATAATAATTAAATAACTTATTTTGTTTGGGAGAATCCATCCTCAACATACAGGATTCTGAAGACTATCCACCTTCAAGATCACCATCATTTTCTATAGTTTCAGAGTTATCTGCTAATGATAGTGTTTCAGTCACATCATGTATGTCACATAGCCACAGTATATCACCTATAGCAAAAAGAAAAAAAAATCTCCATCATCCAGAAACAACCGTAGATAACTTTGTGATAAGAAACAGCAGATTACAAAAAGAGGTAATTAATAAAAAAAATTGCCCTGTTTGTTTTTGCCGCAAACGCTCCTTTCCGTATGATTGAGAACCCACACTTCATTAACATGGTTCAGTCATTAAGACCAGGATACAGTCCACCCAACAGAGCAGACATCGCAGGCAAATTGCTGGATAAAGTGTATGAAAGAGAAATTGAGCAGTGTGCAAAAGGTCTAGAGGATGAAATTGTTAACCTGAGCCATGATGGCTGGAGCAATGTCCACAATGATCCTGTTGTATGTGCTTGGGTGACAACAGAAGAATGGAATGTCTTCCTTACAGAAACAAATGTACACACAGCAGAATACTTACAAGAAGTAGCAGTAAAAGCTACAAAAAACTGTGGGGAAAAAATTCAAATGTCTAGTACACAGCGTGGTAACAGACAATGCTGCAAATGTATCCAAGATGAGAAGAAATTTAGAAGAGAGTCCCAAGCTAATAACATATGGTTGCTGTGCTCATTTGATGCATCTCCTAGCCAAAGACTTCAGCGTTCCAGAAATAAAGGCTAATGTGGAAATTGCAAAATACTTCTGAAACAACCACTTTGCAGCAGCTGCTCTGAAAAAAAGTGGGAGGAAGCAAGCCAACTCTCCCACAAGACTTACAATGGAACTCAGTAGTGTACTGTTTTGAGCACTGTACCAAGAACTGGCCTAATCTGATGACAATCTGTGAACAAAATCGTGAAAAAATAGACGGCACTGTCACAGCCAAAGTTCTCAACACTGGGTTTAAGAGATGTGTCGAACACATGCTGAGTACCCTGAAGCATATTTCTGTAGCCTTGAACAAAATGCAGGGAAATAGCTTTTTTGTTGCTGATGCTGCTGAATCTGGAAGGAACTGAGATAGATCTTAAAAAGAGAAATATGCAATGACAGAGTTAAATTACAAGCATTAAAAAACGAATGGGACAAGCACGATCTCCAGCTCATTTTCTTGCAAATATTCTCAATACTCGGTACCAGGGTCAAACCTTAACTGCTAAAGAGGAGGAGATGGCTCTGACATGGACATCCAGCAATCATCCCTCCATAATGCCAACTATAATAAACTTCAGAGCTCAGGGTGAACCATTCAAGAAATATATGTTTGCTGATGTTTTAAAGAAAGTCACACCAGTGAACTGGTGGAAGTCACTTAAACACTTTGATTCAGAGACTGTTGAAGTGACAATCTCTCTTTTAAAAGCAGTAGCTTCTTCTGCCCGTGTAAAAAGAATATATTTTCTTCCTTTGGGCTAATTCATTCCAAATTGAGAAATCGTGTGAGACCTGAAAAAGCAGGAAAGTTTGTTTTTCTTTTCCAGATTATGAACAAACAGGAAAATGAAGGTGAAGACGACAGAGTTAGCTGCAGAAGCCAATATTTTAAGTTTCTCATGTTGACCTGGCTGACAGTCCATTTAATTTTTGTTGTTTTAAATATTTCATAACTATTTTAGTTAAAAACAATTTTAACAAAAACAAACCTGATTTTAAATAACTTGAATGTTTAACTAAATTCAAAAATTCATATGCTTGTTTTGTTAAAATATTATATGTTTGCTGTTGAAGAAAATAATCCAGAATACATAACATTGTTGTTTTACTTAAATAAAATAATTTAAATGTCTGTCTGGTGATGTTCTCCTCCTAATACAGCATGGAAAGAAAATCCTCCAAATATTAATGATTAACCTGTTGAATTGGAGATAGTTCACCCCCCCCCCCCAGTGACTTCATAAATATCTGCTTCAATTACCTTTGGTAAATGAAATAACCAAACAATCATTCATTTTCTGATATAGCTGTAAAACTAATCTGAAAAGTTTTCAAAATAAATCACTTTTAAAATACATAGTGTGTACCTTCTAAAAATGAAACCTACACCTATCTCTGAGTTGTGAAGAATATGTATTAAGGTTATAACAACCAACAAGAATGTACTTCTATGTAGAAATCCATGATTAAATAGAGTCTTCCTGACTAGTGATTTAAATCAAATGCTCCCTGGTTAATCATGAGTTAACTGTGATAAATCGACAGCCCTAAAATTTACCTACTCCTTCTTGGACGCTTTCTCCTTTTTCCTATCCCCAGAAGACTGGCTGACCATTTCAAAGCAACTTGTGACCCAAAATTTACTTTCACTTAAAAGCTAAACCTGGAAACTGAACAGTCCTCAAGTTAGATGGGTCAGAAATGGCTGAATACCTATGGATCAGCTATGAAAAAAATATATAAAGAAAAAGTTAGATCTGATCCATGCTATTTCTTGAAAATCACCTGTGTGGCTGATGTCCAGTTGAATGGGGGCCATTCTGGAGGTTGGTCTGGCTATACTGATGGGTGCCAGGAGGTGGAGATCCAACAGGAGCAGAGGACCCAAAAGGCACAGTAGATTTCAACATACCTAAAATAAGTCACATTTAAATACATTTATAATAGATATAAAAATGCATTAAATCCATTAAATGAGGACTTACTGGAACAGAACAATTGGGAGATATAAGAATTACGGTTTCAATACCAATAGCCAAGACTGGGTGAATTCAGAGCCAGGCACAGAAATTAATTAAAAAAATCCATCAACAATGCTCACCATTTATGACTTCCTTCTCACCTTCCTCTCTTTTTCAGCATTTCCCATTCCTTTATTGCTTTCAAGGACGCTAGTTTTTGTACACTAACAAGCACAGATTATAAACAGCAACCTAGGCCTCAGCTATGCTATGGCGACAACCTTAAATGTTAAACTTTATAAAGGGGTAAATCCAGAAATTTGACAGGAACAATATAAATAATAAAATAATAATATTATATAAGGTAACATCAAATACTTGCTTAGGAAAATAAACTAAGTTACCATCAAAATAGAAAGTTTTTTCAACACCACCTTGTGTCACCCCAAGAGGGAATCAGTAACTCCTCACCCTGGCTTCAAAGTCCAGCTTCATCTCTCTCCGGCTTGTGATACTCCTTTGCTTTGGCACTGTGATGACCACAACTCTTTCCAACAGGTTCACCCACAAATGACAGATCCTCAAGCCGGAGGATCACGCCCACTTCCCAGATTGTACCTCCATCAGTGTCCCAATGGTCAACCTCACTGGGCATACGATCTATAACCCTTGCAGCCAGGCTCCTAGCATGCTGCCCTTCAAGGTCCAGCTTCCTCTAATACAGCTTGCTCAGCAAATCCCCTTTTTACATTAGTGACGCTTCTTTTCGCCTCCCTCTTCTCTAACCACCTTCTAAATACCTCCTCTCCAGTAGATCCCAAGCCCCATCACTCAAACTGCCCTCTCATTGGCCATCTCTCCCCAGGACAGCACTCTGTGTTGCTGCATCTCAGCTGCAGGCCCTCTATTACCCTTCTTGGTTGGCAGCAGGTGCTTGTTCCCAGGTTACTACAATGGAACAAAGGGGGAAGAGAAGGAGAAACAGAAGGAAAGAGATTGTGCAGGAAAGGAAAGAAAAAAATCAGAGTAGGAAGGTGAAAAGGATTCTGAGAAAGGTAGGGAAGGGAAAGATGAGAAAAACAGATTAAGAGCTAGGAAAGAGTCTCCGAATTAGTGCAGGAAAGGACCTGTGCACTTTTATTCGGAAAGTTTATTTGGGAATTCCTAGCCTACTCATTAAGCTTTTTAGTAAGAAGAAACACCAACAGTTAAGTTTTCCTCAGTAAGACAGTGCTTTTCAGAAAACTGAAAGAGCCTGACAATACAGGCTTACCATAAGAATGCAGCTCACCTGTAACCAGTATCCCTACAGTAGGGGTGTTGCTTAAACATTGAGAAATCCAAATTGCTGACCAACGGTACGGAGATTACAATTTATAAAGAACAATAATGTAACGCAATTAATGTTCCAATCAGTGTTTCTTGGATTATTTTTCTTTTAGGTTAACTTTCCTTAAAGTTAAAGTTTGGATGGCTACCAACTTTGGTAGTCTCCTTTCTGAATATTCCATATCAAAAAAACTTCTAATTTCTAGAGGTTCTTCGATTTCATTTGTCCAAACTCAGTCTTGGTATGAAGGTTGCACTGCATTTGATAAAGAGTCCTGGCTCCTCGCTCTAGGCTGAATTTGTTCCTGTCACTCATTTCATGAGAACAAGAAAAGTAGACAGGCTATTCAACAAACTACATATACAATCTTATGCAATATGAAGAAATCAGCCTTCTAATTAGCTGTCGATCCTGCTTAATATCTGAAAAATGTAAATCCTAATCTAAGTTTTCATCTTCTTATAGTCCTCTTTTATCTACCTTCTATAAAAGCCTTGAAGGACAGCTCAAACACCTTAACTATTTTAATATGTGCTCTACCTGCCTCTCTGATGTTGGCCAAAACTTGTATGTCATTTCCCTTTGCAGACTCAGTATCCTGCCCACCAATGTTGTTAAGTTTTCTCGCCTCCTTTTTAAGCCTTACTCTTTGATTAAAGGCTACTGCCCTGATTTTTCTCTCCAGTATATACTCCTTTAACTTCATTGAAATGACACCTGATTTACACAGGTCAGCGAGTAGAGAATCTGGTCTTATATAGGTTGCCAGTATAAATCTTTGGTCATTTTCTTGCATCAATCCTATATAAGTTCAATCACATTCTCTACTTTTTAAAAAATCTGGAGCCCCAGTTTGGCAATCTTTTTTTGAGTTTTGTATCCTGACATAGGTGTAAGTACAAGTATTCACTGCAGCTACATGTTTGTCCTGCTTTGCTTTATCTGATGTCTGTCAATTACAATGTATTAATCAGTAGACACATCATACTGAGATATAATGAGCAACTTTCCACCCAGCCTATAAAAACTAGCCAGGCTATTTTCCCTATTAGAAGCCAATTGGTTCCTATATGATCAGATAGCTGGCCTATGTTTTCCTCTTTTTAACTGACCCCACCACTGAAAAGACAATCTCAATGAGTACAATACTGAGTACAGTACCAACTGGATGTTCAGTCTAGATCCCGGTTAGGATCTCATTAATCTTTTAAATCAATTATTGGTCCTACAGCAGAAAACAGCTCATTTCTGAAGTGGACACCTCCCATCAAAGAGGTTAGCTTAGAAACACCTCTCTTTGTTTTCAGAAAAGATTTTTAACTCTTTCCTTCTCTCTGCATATATTAGGCATTTCTTATCACTGTGGTATCCAAACACAAATACTACTTACTGTTCCCTGCAAAGCAAACCTCACATGCAGTGTAAGTATACATGAAAGGCCTGATTCTTTCTTGCTCTGCATATTGTCTTATCATTTGCAAAGTTGGTATAAGACACCACCAAATCAGAACAGAGAATTTTTCACTGGTGTAAATGATTACATGAGATGCAAGACAATTAAGAATCAGGCCCTGAGTATATAGTACACTAGTACTGCCTTACCTGACTGAGATGCCGAGTATGATGGGTTTGGGTTGCCATAATGCCCATAAAGAGGTGAAGATGTAGGTGGTCCAAAGCCTGTAGAAAAACCTCCAATACCCGGTTGGGATTGGGAATATGGAGGTGTTGCAACATAACCTTGTTGGCTCATTCCGATATTATTCTCATTCCAAATGGGAGTCTTCCTTACGAGTCTGTAAAGGAAAGATTTCTATCAACTCTTACTCCATAGCATCCTACGAGACTCACATTTTTGTTACTGAAAGGGATACAATGAAAACCTTAAGGCAACACAAACAGAGTCAAGAAGAGAACAATTTTTTGTTCCCATCTCTTCCCCAGCCTTACTGTGTGAACTTGAACAAATCACTTAATTTATCTGGACATAGTCATTCTATCCCAGGGGAAAAGACTACAGAGTAGGGGGTTTGGTTTTTTGGGGGGGCTGGTGATCTTTGTGGAAGAAAACTCTTTGAACTGTTCTATTAGGAGGCGGTGAGAACGGGCTGCATTTGCCCCCAAAGAACAGAATGTGGGTCCGCTCCCCAGACACCACAGATCCCACAAGATACAGAGGAAGTGCAAAAAAAGCAGAATGAGGGTGGGGCAGGACCACTCCAGGACCACACCACTGGTCCTACCCCAATACTCCCCCTTGCACCAGGCTATCTTGCAGAAGCAAGCTGTGCAGTGAGCCTCCTGAACCAGACATATTTCCAGTAGTGAGGGAGGATTCAAGGTCCTTTCATGCTGGTTTAGCTGGAGCAAAGGGCCTACAGTGCACGGATGAATTCATCTCTATAACTGCAAATCCAGAACATCTCACCCATCTGCATTAGCACCACAGCTCAGGCCTTGGCCCCCCTTCAGATTTAAGCACAACAAAAAGTTATTCGCTTTGTCATAGCCATTTTTATTACTCCAAGAGAAGCCGGCACATATGTCAAACATCAGCTACTTCAGTTATCTGACAGTGCCTCCCTAACCCCATTGCTCCAGCCTGACTCCCTGCTACCCAGCTGTGCTCCTTACAGACCTCCCCAGCCAACCTCTGGTCACAGGGAAGCAGGCTGGACAATGGGGCATAGGAGGCTCAGTAATCACAACACAGGGTACAGGAGACCTGCTTCCTAACCAAGCCTGGGTTCATATTCACAGCTGATGGCTGGCTGGGCAGTCTCCCTCCAGTTAGCCTTTACAGACCCCAGCCAACCAACCAGCTAGCTAGCTACCTAACCCCTGCTTTCCTTTATCTTTCTGCTTTATACTCCGACAGATCCAATCTTGTTTTCCATTGATTGCCCAGACAAACCTGCTCAATGTCACCAGAACATGTATCCTTCTAGCAAATGCATAAGTGTTTCAATAGACAAGAAGCTGCCACCCCATTCCCAGGGTGCTGCCAGCACCTAGCCACAGGATAACTTCAGCCACCACTCTCCCCCTTCTTCTGCCCCCACTGTTTTATTAGCATTTGATTTAAAGCAAAACAAAAACCAACTCCCACATGTGACTTTAGACCTTCTGATGCCAGGAATTTCGTTTCATTGTGTTTGAAAGCTGGATCTCACCTGTAATAACACTTTGGGCATCTGTTTGTTACAGGAAGGTTTTGTTTACAAGCATACTTACCAGTGCTTTTCCCTGAGTGGGGCTAAAAATTAAGATGAATATAAAACTCTGAAGTATAGGGCAGTGTTGAGCTAGACCAGGGGTGGGCAGCCTTTCAGAAGTGTTGTGGCAAGTCTTCATTTAGTCACTCTAATTTAAGGTTTCACGTGCCAGTAATACATTTTAATGTTTTTAGAAGGTCTCTTTCTATAAGTCTATAATATATAACTAAACTATTATTGTATGTAAGTAAATAAGGTTTTTTAAATGTTTAAGAAGCTTCATTTAAAATTAAATTAAAATGCAGAGCCCCCCCGAGCGGTGGCCAGGACCCGGGCAGTGTGAGTGCCACTGAAAATCAGCTCGCATGCCGCCTTTGGCACGCGCGCCATAGGTTGCCTATGCCTGAGCTAGGCTAACACATTTCATAACACTACTTTGCATTTACATAGCACCTTTCAACAGGGGATGTGAAAATGTTTTACTGATATTAAAGTTATTTACTTACCCAGCCCTGTTAGGTAATTATCATTGCCCTCTTTTTACATAGTGAAGAAACCAAACCAAACCCTCTATAAGGAGAGATTAAAGAGGCTAGGACTTTTCAGCTTGGAAAAGAGGAGACTAAGGGGGGATATGATAGAGGTGTATAAAATCATGAGTGGTGTGGAGAAAGTGAATAAGGAAAAGTTATTTACCTGTTCCCATAATATAAGAACGAGGGGCCACCGAATGAAATTAATGGGTAACAGGTTTAAAACAAATAAAAGGACGTTCTTCTTCACTAAGTGCACAGTCAACCTGTGGAACTCCTTGCCTGAGGAGGTTGTGAAGGCTAGGACTATAACAGGGTTTAAAAGAGAACTGGATAAATTCATGGAGGTTAAGTCCATTAATGGCTATTAGCCAGGATGGGCAAGGAATGGTGTCCCTAGCCTCTGTTTGTCAGACGGTGGAGACGGATGGCAGGAGAGAAATCACTTGATCATTACCTGTTAGGTTCACTCCCTCTGGTGCACCTGGCGTTGGCCCCTGTTGGTAGACAGGATACCAGGTTCGATGGACCTTTGGTCTGACCCAGTATGGCCGTTCTTATGTTCTTATGTAACCAGAGAGGTTAAGTTCAAAATTTGAAAAAATAAAATCAACTGATTTTTGGTAACCAACATGAGACTGATTGTTCGGAGATACAGAGCATCCAAAACCACAAATGAAGTCAAGGAGACCCGTGAGTACTCAGCACCCAAGGGGCCTTAAGTTGCGCGCACACACACATAAACACACAATAAATGAGACATCCCAAATTAATGGGCACTCCTGGAAAATGTTGCCTAAGCGTCCTTCCCAGGTCAGACAGGAAATTAGCGGCTAAGCCGGGAACAAGACCCAGATCTCCTTACACCCAGTCCCGTGGTGATAGCTCACAATTCTCCTATACACAAGATTCCCCACTTGTTTAAGAAATTTTTGTTGAATGTTCAGCAGTTCCAAACAGATAAGATGACAGAGCTGTCATTTGTTCCTTAGCTACTAAGGCAAAGCTTGAAAAAGAGAGAAAGCCCAGAGGGTGCTTTGTTGCCAGTAGTACTTTTTTTTTCCCCAGCAGAGCGAGACGTGGCAACATGAGCTTTGGTCACTCTAGAATAGATTTACCTAACAGTCAGCTCTAACGTACAGTATGTAGGAAGAGAGAAATATTCACTCTAAGAAGGTTTCAGCAGCCAACACCTTTCTTAGCCCTGACAGTATCCAAGGGAAATGACTTCCTCCACTGCTCAGTCACCCAAAAAAAAAAAAAAAAACCAACAAAAAAACCTTGCCACGTCAAACTTCCCACACATTAAAAAAAAACCGAGAGATAATGTGTAAGAAGGAGAGGGACTCTCAAACACAAACATAATGCCAACTTACTGTTCTGACTCATCTCATACTGTATTTCATATCTATAATAAATAACCCTCCTCATACACAGATATACATATATATAGAACACACAGTGAAACCTGCTCCAAAATACTACCCAAGATACCAGCATAAAATGATCCACTAGTCAATGCTGGACTTTAATTAGAGATGTACAAAACTGTACAGGAAACTACACAGGAAATTTTAAGATCGCCTCTTAAACCAGGGGTTTTCTATTGTATGTGCTGTCCTTTTCACAAGTTTCTCTATTGATATACCTACATATAAATATAAATAGAAAAAAGTTTTATTTTCTCCCTTCTCTTGCTATTATGTCTTTCCCAACCCCAAACAACAAAGCCCTCCCTGACACTTCACTAACTCAAATGATATCAGTAGTCAGCTAGGTTGTAATCCTTCAGCTGTGTCTATTCAGCATAATTGCTGTGCCCATGCAAAGTTCCACTGAAATCGATGTGGCTCTCGAAAATCACACAGGCCCATCCACACAGATTCCACTATAAGATCAGGGACTTTAACTATAATATAAAAACACTCTCACCCCAATGGAAGGGAGTTGGTTGTTATTTTTATGATTTAAGTGCTACTGTGTTTTTGGTGTTGCACAATACATAGAGGGAGACAGAGTCCCTGCCCCTAGCACCTTACACTTAGATAATTAGTACAATTTTGGCATATTATATACTAGAAAGCCAGACAACAGTCCAAGCTGAAAGCAGTGAAGACTGTGTGTATATTTTATATAAAAGTATATTTAATTGGAGTTAATTCATCTTGCAAGGAGTTGTGGAAGAGTAAATTTAATTCCCCCCACAATTTATTATTAAGACTGCAGTTATTGTTTACTTCAATATAATAGGCTCAATTACAACACAGTGTAACGCAACAGCAATGCCCTCTCCTTCTTCATCCCATTACTGTACTGTGTATAGAATGCATCTTCCCCTTAATAATACTGTGTATGAGAGACATTCCTCCAACCTGGGTTACTCATGTAGGAAATACATTTTCACCTGGGCTCCCCCCTAGTTCCGTGCATGTAGGGTGCATGCTCCCCTGATCTCACTGTTACCTAGTATATGGGGTACACCCCTTCCCATTGCTCTCATGTGCTGGATGCATGTCCCTCACCCTGGGATGTGTGTATAAGATGCACTCCAGTCTGCTGCTCCCCAATACTGTGCATACAGGATACAAGTCCCTCACAATACTCCAACTCCGTGTTGAGAACATACTCCAACGCTGCATATATAGGATGCACTCTTCCCCCAAGTCTCCAGTTCTGTATATACCTTATGCACCCCCCTCCCCATGTCCTCCCAATGCTATGTACATAGATAGTATCCACTCCTTCCCCAAGTTTCCAGTGCTGTTCATATAAGACGCATCCCAAATTGTACTCCAATTATGTGTATATAGGCTGCACCACCAAGTCCCAGTTGGTGTGTATTCAGGGTGCACCCTCACGCCGCACCCCCCAAGCTGAACACATAGGTTGTGCACCACCCTGCAGCCCCCGCCAGTGCTGTGTGTATAGGACGCAGCCCCTGCAGCACTTTAACAGGTAGTATATATCGGATGCACCCCCTTGCTGAGCGCACATAACGCAGCCTGCTCCCCACCACTGCCCCAGGTTTCCATTACCTGTGCACTGTGTGCAGCCCCCCTCCCCCGTGTCTCTGGGGCTCGCACGCTCGGGGCCGGTCACACAGCAGCTGTCTCCGGCGCGGGGCTCCCGGCTCCTCTCCGCTCGCGGCCGCCCAGTGAACTGCCACGTCTAACAGCGAGCGCCGGGAGCGAGCGCCGGGAGCCGCCGCGGGCACGCGCCGGCGCACACAGCCCGGCTCGAACCACGCTCCCTCACTCAGGCGCATGCCCGAGAGAGGAGGCCAAGCAAGCGCAGTGACAACCCTGAAGCCGCCGCCCTCACCTGCCTGCCGAATCGGCTCCCTAAGCAGAGCGGGGCGAGGACTGGAGAAGGAAGGGTAGAGCAGCCGCAGTGGGGCTGGGGTGGGGGGAGTGGTGCAGCAGCTAGGGGGCTGTGCAGCTGTCAGGAAGGGGAAAGGGATGAAAATTAATGCAGAGAGGGAGGAAAACGCGGCAGGGTCTGGTTATTTGCTGTTTCCTTAAAGCCCCAGCTCCTGGAGTCCTGAGACTCTCCGCTTATGCTTAAAGAGGCTGTCACTGAGTCTGGCTGGCGGTGGTGGAGGGGAGCTGGAAAACATGACCCCCTGCTGGCTCAAAACCATTAGTGAAATACTGTATCCAGTGTTGGCATCCACAAAAGAGGTTGAAAAATAAGAAAGCGTTCAGAAAATAGCTACAAGAATGATTCAAGTGGGAGACTGAAGCAGCTCAACCTATTTAGCTTATCAAAGAGAACATTAAATGGTGACTTGATCACTGTCTAAGACCCTAGCTGGGGAAAAGATTTCTGATGGTGCAGGGCTTGAGTGTAGACATGGCTTAAATTTCTCAGGGATGTAGATTTTTCACACCCCTAAGTGACATAGCTGTGTCAATTTAACTTTTTATGTAGACCTGGCCTTATTCTGGTCTCAGTCTCTCCCTGTTTTTTGCCTGCAACCCAGCATGTCTTTTTCACACACGTCCACTTGGTCAGAATAATATTCTGAGGAAATCTCCACCTAGTTTCTGAGCAGACTATTAGGCCTTGTTTTAGATGTGGCCCCTTAACTGTCTCTGCCAGCTATTTTAAGCAAAGGGCATGTTCAAACACCAGGTTCAATAAGGTTTTAACTCAACCCATAACAAGGTTTAACCCAGCTTATAAAAATACTTAAAATACTCAAATATATTTTTAAAGTGACAGAAGCCATAACCACCGAGGGAAAAAAACAAGGCTTAATTTGGAGTCCCTGAGCTATATGCACGTTTTCATATTGTCAGGGCCCTACCAATTTCATGGCCAAGAAAAATGTGTCACAGGCTGTAAAATAAGCCCTTCCCCATGAAATCTGATCTCTCCCTTGCTGCTGGGAGTACCCCAGCTGGGGGGCTCCTCTCTGCAAGTGCCAGCTGGCCTGGGGAGGGACAGGGCTTGTCCATCCCCTGCACTGCCACTGTCCGGGAGTCAGGGGTGCGGTTGGGGGAGGGGGAGGGAGATCAGAGCCACCTCGGAGTGCCTCCCCCTGCTGGAGGAAGCTCCAGCTGGGCAGCAGCCCTGGAAGTTCCTTCAGCTGGAGGAGGCTTGTGAAGGTGGGTCCGATCTCCTGCTGCTGCCAGGAGCACCCCAGCCAGGGGGCTCCTAGCTGCTAGTCCCTGTTGGGCTGGGGAAGGATAGGACGCACCTCTGGGTACCTTTGGGCTTGGGAGCCCATGTTTACAACATCATAAAATTTCAGATGTAAACAACTGAAAACATGAAACTGACCAATTTTTAAACCCTCTGGCTGTGAAATTGATCAAGATGGACAGTGAATTTGGTAGGGCCCTACATATCATGAACAGAGACCCTTAGTATAGGGTGATCTCATGGGCCACTTGTGAATCTGATACCACCCTTACCAGCAGCAAACAGACCTTGGTTCAATGAAAAACTGTAATTTTAGGACAATATTAAAGAGAACCCAGATTAAAAAGTCCAAACAGACCCAGTGAAACCATTTAAATTGATCAAAAAGGCCTCCGGAGACTGAGGGAATCATAAATCACGCTGCACCTTGCAGAAAGGATTACCATTTGAAGACTAACAGATGTTTCACTGCTGCAAGTGGTACCCTCATAGTTTGGTATAGGGAGAGGTCTATTTCCTTTAATCTTTTGCAAGACATACATTGCGGAGTTTCCACAATGTGATAAGTATCAGAGGGGTAGCCGTGTTAGTCTGGATCTGTAAAAGCGATGTGACCATTGCTTATTAGCACCGTAGTGTCCAGGAAGTGGATCTCTTGTGTGGACTGGTCCAGGCTGAGGTTGATGGTGGGATGGAAATTGTTGAAATCATGGTGGAATTCCTCAAGGGCTTCTTTTCCGTGGGTCCAGATGATGAAGATGTCATCAATAGAGCGCAAGTAGAGTAGGGGCATTAGGGGACGAGAGCTGAGGAAGCGTTGTTCTAAGTCAGCCATAAAAATGTTGGCACACTGTGGGGTACCCATAGCATGGTATGCGGGTACCCATAGCAGTGCTGCTGATTTGAAGGTATACATTGTCCCCAAACATGAAATAGTTATGGGTGAGGACAAAGTCTCAAAGTTCAGCCACCAGGTTAGCCGTGACATTATTGGGGATACTGTTCCTGACGTCTTGTAGTCCATCTTTGTGTGGACTGTTGGTGTAGAGGGCTTCTACATCCATAGTGGCCAGGATGGTGTTTTCAGGAAGATGGTGTTTTCAGGAAGATGGCCAGTAGATGTCTGTGTGAATTGTATAGAGTTCCAGGCAGGGGTAGTCCATGATGAAAAAAAGAGAGACAAAGCTGGCATTGAAGCTGTGCAGAAGCCTGCCTGTTCATGTCTATAGTAAAGTTTGTAATTTTATTTAAGGAATGTTTCCTATAAGGCAGACTGATTCCATATCTCACAGCATATAGTACACAGCCTTAAAGTGTGTGTGTGTGGGTGAAGGGGTACGGGGGAGGGGGAAGGACCTCTACATAGGTCAATGATTTGTTTGTAAGGGGAGCTTTCCCTTCCAAGCTCTTTGATCCCTGGCTCCAAATGTTCACTGAGTCCTCTGGCTGGGACATTATTTTCCCTATTATTATAAATGATCTTATATTTTCATTTTTTATTTGCAAATTACATCATAGTATGCTATTTAACTTAATGTGCAACTTTTAGACCTTTATGTATCTTCCCTTCTGCCCCTCAGAATAAACCAATGGGACGGGCAGTCTCTCCCCTGATCACTTGTCACTCGAATAACCAGTCCAAAGAGCTAGAACTCCAGGGTAACTAGCTAGATGGGACTGGTTGTTTTGATTGCCACAGTTATGGGACCCGGCACAGAATCATCATATATGACTAGGCTGCTAGTAATAAATATAAATTGTGGAGGTCGCTGAGTGCTAGGTCCAGGTCATATTCAAGGGGCTTTAAGAAAGAACTAGACTTGAGGCCTGATTATTGCCCCAACCCAAATAACTCGTACCAGTTCTTTACAGGAGGCTGGGTGCTCTCAGGATATTGGGGTGCTTTTATTTATATTGTTATCTCCTCCCTTTTCCCAGTTTGGTGACTCTGCTTGAGTGCCCTGTTCTGTTGAAGTGGCTCTTCTGGTACTCCATCAGAGACACTTTAAAATTACTACCGCCCTCTTTTTTTATGGTTCCCGCTGTTGGAGCCTTGGACTTGGTCAAACTCCTCTCTGACTACATGCTCACATTCTCAGAACACCTTGATGGATTAACCCACTGTTCTTGGAGAGATTTGTAGGCTGAGGATCATACAATTTCAGGCCACTCCTTTTGTCATTTGCAGTAGACCTAATTGACTTGCTTCACCCACAAATAGCTGAGTAAGGCTGTGATAGCAGCCCCCACTAAGCAGACTTAATTGATAATGATTTTATATTTATATAGCACCTATATAACTCAAAGAATCACAAAACACTTTACAAGCTGTTATAGAAGTTATATAAGGCAATCACTTCATCACTATAATGGCGCCACTTCTGAAGTGAGAGGTGGCACCTTTTTAACAATGAATAGCAACACTAAACAATAGTTTAAAAGGCAGGAGGAGAAACATGCCATATCCATTTGAAAATGCAAGGTGAACTCAGATAAGCAGAAAGTAATTTACCCAAGATGGAATTTTGCCAGCACAGAGAGTTTAATACCCTACATTGGGAACGTGCCTTAGGCTTTTTAATGACTACTGGTGGTTTAGGATCTTGTTTATTCACCTTATTTAAAAAGTCACCACTCTCTGTAACATAGACCACGCTGAGGTATTGAGTCCTTGCTGAATCAGAGGGAGAAGTGCTACTCACTAAATCACTTTCTGCAATATCTGGGTGTTCCTTGTTCATCTCCCATCCTTAGCACAGAGCTGGCCTGATGCTATTTAGTTTATGAGAGCAGATGGGAACCCAGCGTAAAGTGGTATTGCTGCAGGTCACTTTGTTTATACCTGTACCCGGTGACTAATTTGGAGACCTTCCCCTAGGTCAATATGGAAACGATTCATTTTGTGACAGAAGTATTTTTCCAAATAAGTAAATACAAAAGAAACATTTTATTCCTCAATTCTATTGATTTCTGTTGTATGTATATATAAGAGCTGGAGGTTTTCCAGTTTAAGAAAAATCTGAAGACAATAGAGAATTGTGGTTCAACATACAAATGCTGCAGAATTTGCAAACATTTAATCTTAACTGTAATTGAATATCACAACACCCAGGAGACAGGGAAAAAAACATTGCTCTTATTTTACAGGTGGGTAAACTGCGGCATGGAGAGGTGAAGACTAACATTTTAAAGAGTTTCCACTAATTTTGAACACCTTAATTTTTGAGTTCCCAATCTCAGGCACCTCAGAGTTTGCTGAGCATGCATAACTCCCATTGACTTCAATGGGAGTTTTGCTTGAGTAGAGAACGCTGAATATGACCCCTTAGTTCTGATTTTGCAAAGACACGTGCTTAGCTTTATGTACACAGGTAGTCCTTCTGAAGTCATTGGGACCGCTCATGTGCATAAAATTAAGCACATGTGTAAGTCTTTGAACGATCGAGACCTTAGTATGTATCAAGATAACCTTTCTATTCATTAGTTTGTACGTGAGATGTTGCTAATAAACAAAGGCATAAATAGCCTAATTTGGC